TGCTGGGAAACTTTTGCAAAGCTGTAGCTTCTCATGAACAGGTGAGGGTGTCTTTTGGTAAGGAGTTCACAAGCATCCATGATGATGTTTTCTTTTAGTAAGTTACTTATTACGCCTTTTTAAATACAATGTTAAAATTCAGTGTTTCTGTTTCAGCGTTTGCTCATTGCTAAGGAGTTTGGGGATCGATCAGCAGAGAGGCGGGCTTACTGCAACTTGGGGAATGCGTATATCTTTTTGGGGGAATTTGAAGTGGCAGCTGAACATTACAAGTAAGCCACACCTACATATGTGTATTAATGTTTGTTGTGGTTGGCCGCATTTGGTCTCTAGGCATGTGTGACTGGATCCTTAATCACTTGATCCTACATTGTCTCCATGATTGTCTCATGTCCCCCCCCAAAAAAGAGGAAATTGAATTATCAAATAACTGTAACATTTTTAGACTCTTTTCCTTACACAATAGTGGCAATATCTAAAATTCTATCATTGTATTTATGCATTATATTATGTTCCTATGAGCTCCTTCTGGGAAAGCAGGCCTGTATTGTATGAAGAAAACATAAAGCCAGTGTCCATTGTTTGAAGCATCTTGTCTGATTGCTTGTTAGGAAGACACTGCAGTTGGCGAGGCAGTTAAAGGACCGAGCCGTGGAAGCTCAGGCCTGCTACAGTCTCGGCAACACCTACACACTTCTGCAGGACTATGAGAGAGCCATAGACTATCACCTCAAACATCTCATCATAGCTCAAGACCTCAATGACAGGTACAGATGCAAACACAAGGTTTTATGATGCTTCTTTTGACGTAACTATGCCACAGTTAAATGGTATTTACTTATGTATGGTTTCATTCTGTAGGATTGGTGAGGGCCGTGCGTGCTGGAGTCTTGGAAATGCCTACACTGCACTGGGAAACCATGACCAAGCCATGCACTTTGCTGAGAAACACCTGGAGATCTGCAGAGAGGTATGCACTGCTCATACTATCTTCACAGCAAAGCATTTCAGAAGTACTCAAAGCAAACTTATTAAGAACAGATACAGAAATCCTTCAGCAGTAAAATTAACAGTTGGTTTGTTCCTTCTGTTTTTTTGTTGTTGTTGTTGTTGTTGTTGTTTTCAGACTGGAGACAGAAGCGGGGAGCTGACAGCTCGTATGAATGTATCTGATCTCCAGACACTTTTGGGTTTGAGCTACAGCACAAATACCTCCACTGTTTCCGAAAATAAGGATATCGACTACAGCCTGCACGGTAAAAACTGTGTGACCTTCCCTATGCCCCTTGCTATAATATTTCAGATGCTTTGAATGTGTAGATTACGTAACATTGTTATTGTTTTACAGGAGCCAGGCCCAGGATGAGCAAACGACACAGCATGGAGAACCTGGAGCTGGTGAAGCTCACTCCAGACAAAGTAAATGTAAGAACTGCTCCACTGTACTGCTCTGCTCACACCTCATCTACAAGAAGGGCTTCTTGTTACATCACCCTTTGCTATTGAAATTGTGATGATTGTGATCCATTTCTGTGCTGAAGGGTCAAAAGTGGAACAGCGACATCTTGACCAAACAGTCCAAACCCTCGCTGGCTAAGAGCTCCTCCAAGCTCTTCTTTGTTGGCCGTCTGCGAGGGAAGAAGTACAAGTCTGGCGGCTCCAGTAAGGTCCTCCAGGACACCAGCAATACCCTGGATACCAGTCAGCCACCTGCACAGGGACCACAAAAGGTACGCAGACCTGGGGAATTCATTTGAAGATCACTCAGAGAGCACTCATGTATTCAAGATCAAACAACTTTTGCTGTTTTATTTTTATTTATTTTTTTCAAGTTGTTTGTTTTTGTTTTCCAGCGACTCAGCCCCGACATGCTCGGAGACGACGGTTTCTTTGACCTGCTGAGCCGATTCCAGAGCAACCGCATGGATGACCAGCGATGTTCGATACAGGACCGAGGCAGCAGGTTATCGCTAAACAGCGGCCCAGAGTCGCCTCCCAGGACCATCAGGAAATGTAGGTCCATGCAATCCACCCACACAAAAAATATAACCACTGTTAAAATAATTTATAATTTGCGTACTTATTTATTTTCATTTGTAGCCATGTCAGAGTCTGCCAATGTGTCAGGCGCTCAGGGCAGGCGCTTAGAGGAGTCATCAGCAGCAGGGGGGAGCCTGCCAGGACTCAGGCTCAACCAAAACAGCAACCAGGCCGTGCTCAGCCACCTGATGGCCAACGCTGACAGCGCTGAGCCTGATGATGACTTCTTTGATATGCTTGTCAAGTGCCAGGTAACAGAAAGAGCATAGTTTACTGAAGTTTCCTAATACACATTTATATAGTGCTGGGTGGGCACACTTGATATTCAAACACCGGTATAAACAGAAATATTTTAGCTCCTATTTAAAATAATTGTGTAGTTAAAGAGTCCCAGCAGTGGCATCCATCCTATACAAGAATGATGTTTTTGAAGTGGATGCTGAAGGTAACAGGAAGCCAGTGTAACATAAGTAGAAGAGTGATGTCTGTTTGTTGTAGCCAGAGGTCAGGAGGCAGGATTCTTATTACCTTGCAAGAGATCAGCTGCACAAAGGAGCAAAGTATATTACAAAGAAAAAAGTTAGAAACAAGATTATAAACATCCTGTTACTCAGACATCAAAGTCATACTCTTTGCTTTCACCGTATTCCTTCCAGGGCTCCCGTTTGGATGACCAGCGGTGTGCTCCTCCCCCTCCTCCAGTCCGAGGGCCCACCGTACCAGATGAGGACTTCTTCAGCCTCATCATGCGGTCGCAGGCCAAACGAATGGACGAACAACGCGTCACCCTGCCTTCTGCTGCAAACGCTGCATCTAGGCCAAGCTCCAACTAAACAAAGCACTAAAGGGACTGTGAGGTCTTTTGTTTAATGAAGGTGTGGACAGTATCGTGATGGACCAGTGATCACTTCCTTGTCCTTTAGGACAACACATAGCATTATCATGCAGTTGACAGTATGGGGGGGAGCGGGGGAACTCAGATTAACAAGGACTTTTCGCACAGCTTGTACAAAGATGAACTCAGAGTAGCATCAGGGACAAAAGTGTTTTTTTAATAATTGTTTTTAATAATTCTGTACTGCTGCATACTCTCACTTCACCCTGTGTATTTTTAAATACACCACTGCAGGTATGTTTGTATTTATTGTTCTTGTCCCATGAACTGCCGTCCCACTGCTATGAAGTAGTAGAGGTATACTCATAGTGGTGTTTTAAATCACTCTTTTCATGTATTACAGCCCTTTACAGATGTGGCATACATGGCAGTGTGCGTGTCTTGTGCGTGTCTGTTTGATGTGATTTCATGGAGTTTCTGAGTTGTGCCATGTTGAAAGTAAAATGTAAATGTTTGAAGGTGTGATCTGTTCTGATTTCTGTGGAAACTTTTCATGAAAAAGTGACCATGGTGCTTTATGAATCTCATTGAGAAGAGTGTGTGTCTGAAAAGGGTTTTTGTTTGTATGAGGTTTTTGTTTGAGTTAAGTTCCTGAAGTCGCACAGGAGGCACTTACAAAAGCTACTATGAGCAAACTGATAAAGTATGGATTTAACCCATGTACAGTCCGTGTCTCTTACCCTTTTGTACTAAATACTATGAGTTCAGAGGAATAAAACATGTCTGTTCATGTAGCCATCGTGACTTATTTTAAAATGTTCAGCATCAAGTATTTAATCCAAAGAAGAAAAGCAAAACACAAAATGCAGAGTTTGTGTAAAAGACACTTTATTGAACGTACCAGCAGTCAGACTTCAGTTAGCTTGAACTCATCTGTCACTTTTAAAAACAAGGCTTAATACAAGAGCCACTAGCATTTCAAAAACAAACTAACTGTACATACATAAACACAACTGAAATAAATACATCTATGTACGTATTAGTTTGGCCTTCATTGTTAAAATAATATATACTATACATTAACATATAAACTTAAATATGCATCTCTGCAAGTAAGTCAATATTAGAAGACGATGTTAAAAGGACAAAGTGCGCAGGTTAAAATAAAAAATAAAATAATATGCATATGCCCCAAACACTGGTTCTAAATAAATATCAAAACACCCGTGCGTCCATCCAGATTCCATTGTGCATACGGTCAGACCCTTGTTTGGGGAAAAGACTGCCATCTACTGACATTACACACACACAGCAGTAGACAAGCCAAAGCTTTTGAGCACAGCCAAATCCAAACTGTATGCAAGGGCGCCCAACCAATAATCACATGCTGTACTTCCCTTTGATACTAACATAGTAACGAGCAAGCCACTGCAAAGACACCGGAACAGCTTCAGCGCAAAAAAAAAGAAAGAAAACAAAAAAACAAACACTGATTTTAAATTTAAACACACTAGCTCGTTTACACAGTTGGAGCTGCAGTAATACAGTGCATACAGTAATGTTAGACACCCCACGGGGAAGCACAAGATAGCCTGACTTCCATAGATTCGGCCTCCCGAGAGGAAAAGCTCACTACTGAAACACTGGAAAAACTACATTTTACATCAAATTTTTGTCTTTCTTAAACAATAGCAGCGTCTCACCAGCTGTAAAAAATAATGATATGCAAAAAGAGGAATGTATGATTCTCAAAATGACTTAACAAAATTTGATCTTAAAAAAAGGACCATTTTTTGATTTTTTGTTTTTTGTTATGGAAACTGAGAACTCAAGGAAGGCACCATCATGAACAAAGCACTCCTGTCCTGTCTCTCCTACTCATCCCTTTAGGAAAAAGGACATGCAGCAACTGATTGGTGTGAGCAGAGAGCAAAAACGCAGGGCGAAATACAGGACGAAGAACGACGAAGAATCCTGCAGTTTTACTCCTCAGTGTGGTGATCAAGAAAGGAGAACATGCAACAAGTGTGCTTTTGATGTGTCCCAGGTGTGAGTCCCATTTGCTTTACTACAGACAGGAGGGAAAGGCTTGTTCACCAGTTTGTGTACCTATGAGTGTGTGTGTGTGTGTGTGTGTGTGTGTGTGTGTGTAAGGGTGGGTCAGTGTTTACAATGCAGAGGAGCAGTAATATTTTAGGGGAATGTGTCAGATAGAAACAACTGGCTCTGTGTGTATGTGTGTGTGCGCATACAAGTGTGTGTGAGTTATGGATTGTGTGTCCAAAGTGTGACAGTGCGATCAGCAGAGGATGAGAGGAAGGACAGGTCTTGTGTGTGCCATCGGCACTGGATCACTTTGTCACCGTGTTCTCCCACCACGGTCAGAGGCAGCTGTTTGGTCAGGTCACCTAGAGAGACGGAGGAGGAGGCAGAAAACCATCAGACACGCGCTAAGGGTGTGGATTCTGGATTTTCTCTAACATGTGGCCTCAAATATATACATACACTCTTAAATCTTTTAATATGTGGTGTTAAAGGATCTGCGACATCTTAACTAGCTGCCCACATGGACAAACCAAACTCTTTACCGTCACACGAGACAAAGATTGTTATTTGGCCACAGTGACAAGAGGTGCAGTATATTTGGAGGCGTTCAACCCTAAGAACACTGTACCAGCTGTCAAACACGCTGGTGGTAGCATCCTGCTCTGGGTTGTTTAATGTTGGGACATTGCACAAAGTGAATGGATAAAGGAGTATTACCTCCAAATTCTTCCAACTTCACCTCGAATCTACAGCTCAATGGTTAAAACTTGGACACGTCCAAATGTGATGCACCTATGATGTAACTCAGTCCCCTCTAGTGGCAGACCTGGAGCCAATCTCACAATCATCCTTTTAAATTATATTTTATTTAAAGGAGGTGGGGAAACCTTCTATAAAACAGGCATACTTATCATCATCATTATAATTATTATTATTACAATTACTTCTGATTATTAAGACTCAAAAGATTGTTTTTTTTCCCCAGATGTTAGTGATCAAACAAGAGTGGCTTTTTAATGAAACATTTTTAAACTTTGTTTGAAGTGATTCTATTGAATTAAGTGCTGTTACAGATGTTTTAACTATTGTAGCTATACCACATCATATCCAGATGCAACCACTGTATGCGCTCTGAAGGTAGACATACCTTGGAGGTTGGTGACCACAACCTTTGTGTCATAGGAACCAGTGAGCAGGTAGTGCGCTCCGGGGGAAAACCTAACGGACCGAACGTCACTGGTGTGCGGCCGGTACACCTGGACGATGCGTCCTCCTCTGATGTCATACAGCATGCATGCGCTATCTTCCTGTCCTGTTGCTAGGAGACGGCCACTAGGATCAACTGCGACTGAGGCAACAGGACTCCCTGTGTAGTAAAGAAGGGGTGTAGTTGTATGAACTGTCATTATTTTCAAATCGAGAACAACAGAACCAATGATAACATTTACTATTTCTGGTATCTTGGCTCACAATTCCCAAGCACTTGCTATATTAAGAGGTGAAACACATGATGCGAGCCAAACCTGAGCCATGGAAAGCAGTTCCCACTACCCGCACACAGCTGGGCACTCTGAGGTCCCAGAAACGCACCGTCTTATCTTGAGAGCCGGAAGCGATCATCCAGCCTCCCCACGTGTACAGAGACAGGATGTGTCCTGAAGAGAGATTACACATTGTCCACTTTCAGCATCATCCTTACTCTCTCTGACTTCCACTTTGATTTGTGCTGGACAGATGGAGGGATGGAGCAGTTACCTGTATGTCCACTGAGGGCGTGCAGACCCTGTCCTCTCTGGCAGTCTGTGGTGTAGATGTTACAGTCTCCGGCCCCGGCACTGATCAAGATGGCTCCTCCACTTTCAGGCCCCTCCATGAAGGCCAGGTCTCTTATGGTACCGTCATGCATACTAAACTCCAGGTCTGGGCCTAGGATGCACAAAAATAAACAAAAATGAGAACACTGGCAATGCCACAAACGGGACGACCACCACACATTCACGCTGAGGACACTTACCTGTGGCGTTGCACGTTTCTGCGCTGAAAGGCAGCACTTTGACATATTTGTCATTGGAGCCTGTAGCCAGCAGCTGCCCACAGTGGCTCCAGGCCACACAGTAGATGGACCCTTTGTGGTGTTTGTTCCTCTTAAAGCGAACCACCGGCTGCTTTGTTGGACTTGAACCACTGAGGAGAGGAAAAGGTGGTCAGCTACTGTATGCAGAGATGAAAATAAACAGTTACTGGTTTGAACTTTCCAACTATTTACACACTAACTTTAACTAATATGGAAGAGAGGTTTATAAGCTAACTGACAGATCAGTGACCACATGGCAACCACCAGTCGCTAGGGAAAAATGTGTAGTTGCTGGCTGTTATGTGGTCATTAAAAGGTACTAAAAAGTCTACTTTTCACTCATATTTTAAAGGATCAGAAAAAAAAAGATGGGTTTTAACAGAGATGTGATGGATCATACTAAACAAAAAAAAATGGAAAAGAGAACATCTGTTAACATTTAACATTCACTTTTTTGATTTTTGTTACCTCGTGTCGAGCGTCTCTGGATAAGCGCACACGCGTAACGTTTTGGAGTTGGAGCCCACAGCGTACAGCGCTCCAGACGGGTGAAAGGCAACGGCTCGAATAGCCTGAGTGTCTTCCAAAGAATGCACCGGTACAAACAGGCTTTTTGGTTTGTCACCCTGAAAACACGCCATATACGAAAAACACACATTAGCAATGAGATTACAGCACCGTAATCTCACCTGATCTTCTCTACCCTATGACATGCATACTGCTGTGACATCACTGCCATTCAGATAAAACTGTTATAATCCGCTTAGCCAAATTAGCATTACACTGGATCATTTTAAAGTACAATGTAAACAACAGAGAATGTGCTGAACTTTAAAATCACACCACACAAGGTCAGAGCTAAACTAAGGGTTACACCTGAGTAACAACCTGAAACTGATTATTAACACCAGGTCTGTCATAACTGTTATTTCTAGTGACGGCTGTCATTCTGCTGTCACCGTGTGTGTGTGTGTGTGTGTGTGTGTGTGTGTGTGTGTGTGTGTGTGTGTCCGTCCCTACCTCTTTAATTCGGGATAAAGAGCCTGGAGAGTCACCTTGTTGGCCTCCTTTTGGTTTTTGCCCACTGTAAAAAACAAACAAACAAAAAACAGGGGCCAGTAATTCAACAAGCAGGTTTAAAAAAGAAAAACAAACAAAAGCAAACTCACACAAACCTCATTGTGGCAACAGGGGACTCATTTGGAGGCGGCACAGGCCGACCCCCTACGGTGCGTTGCGGGGTGCTGCTGAGCACCCCTCCCCCTTGGGTCCGGCTCTGCTCGGGGGTTACAGACGGAGGGTTGTTATTGTCCTCAGAGGCGGGCGTGTTCCCGTTGCCATTACACTGCTGCGTCAGAGATTTTACCTCTTCTCCCAAATTCTCCATCCCCACGTTGAGCTCTTCCAGCTTCTGGATGGACCTGCAACAACCAAACACACGAGTTCTGTCTCCAAAGAGGCAACTTGTTTTCTTCTTTCTACTAAAGACTTGTACCTGCAGGCCGACAGCCTGGTTAGAACTACAAAGGAAAACTCAAATATTAATGTAATTATTCACAGCTAGCCTTGTGAATAATGTAGAGTGCTACGTAGACTGGGAGAGGGAGGATGGGGAGGATGGGGAGGATGTCTCTGAGGGCAAATCAAAGAGCTTTTGTCCCGCTAGAAGAAAAAAACAAAAAAACAAAACTATTTTGTCACCTCATTTTTAATCACTGAGCTGAAGCTAACTGAAGTGGTTTTGTGGTTAGAGAACATACAGTAAAAATATACATATAACATAATGCTACTGCAGTTTTGAGAGGAAACTGTGTCTAATATTGTGTACAACACAAACACACATGAGGTGGTGGTCCCATGTGTTATGTTGTAGCTGATTAGAGCAGATGGTGCAGTATAGACAGGAGGGGGTGTGCCATGCAAGCGAATCCACATGGGACTCGTCGTTTTTAAGAGCCTTAATATGTTAACCTTTTCTGACAGCTGGTCCTCTGCTGTTATACGACGGTCAATGTCATGCAGGCTTCACTTCAGCAAGCTGTCCCACAACTACCATGACAAGTGCGCCATACGACTGAACAGCTGTCTGTACCATATTTCCCCGAACTGTGAGATGAAGTCTCATTTTGGGGATCTGGTCCATTCTCCCCAGTTTAAGCTACTGCATTGCACTGTTGGTACGACCCAACCCTTCACGTGTTTACAGTGAAACATCTGCAGGGCTATATAGCTGCTGGATGAGATTAAATGAATAAATCAACTGCATATAACAAGAAATAACAAGAATTCAGTTTTTAAAATGCTTTGGTTATGCAGTCTACAGACAGATATCTGTATATGAATAAGAAGAATCTGCAAGCAAGCAAAATTTTTAGTATTGGAAGCTTTCTGGTTTCCATTTATCATCTGTTAGGCTCTAATGACCGATAACATTTGATGGTTTTGGTCATGTGCAGGCATAAAGTCGAGCTAAAGGCAGACTGCATTTGCTCAAATTCAAACTTGACTAATGCTTAATGGAGAATCTGCTTTATTAACTTTTATCACTTTATCCACATTTGAAAACAATGGCCGGCAGACTAAACAGGAAGTCTTGGCCTGAATATCCAAAAACCCAACAGGAAGCCCTGAAAATCAGGCCGTTACCTGCGGAGGCTGAGTCAGCAGTTTAGCTGACTCAGCTGACTTGATACAAAAAAGCAGGACGGGACTTTAGAATAAGAAAGTTTATGTGAATGAAAGGATGAGCTTCAACAAATAAAAGATCTTGTAAACAGCATGATTATAGTGCTGAAGTAGACGCCACCCGTCCATGTCTATGCGCCTGCTTTTGTTTCTTTGTGTGAACCACACCTCTGGCTGAATGTGCAAACAGAGAACGCACATTCCTCATCTTGCAAAGAGCATTTAAGTCATTTCGTTCGCTGCGTTCGTACCTGTTGAGGAACTTCTCTGTGAGGCTGTGCTGCATGTCGCTGGGCGGGGGCTCCTGCTGGACCCCTCCCTCCAGCAACATCTGCTGGTACATCTGCCTCTGCTGCTGCTTCTGCTCCAGGTGCTGCTGCACGCGGAGGCGCTGGCGATAAAACTCCTCATACTTCTCTGTTGAGTCACGAAGCTGGGAATGAAGCATAAATATTTAATATTAGAAGCACATTATTTATACCTTTCTTTTTATTGAGCTGCATCATGTTGCACACAATTGAAGGGATAACCTGTAAAACATGGTGTTGCAACTAACCATGAAATCAAAATGTGTTTCCACCAGACCTGACCCGGCCTGCCGTCGCAGAGGATCACCATAATGAAGTTTACAGGATGATGGTGGCTTTGATGAAGCTACTCATCAACCGTGACTTTCTTCTACTGCTTCATTCATTTTAAAGGTTCAGTTCAATGTGAAATCAGATTTCCATTCAGATTGTTTCACTGTGAATTGCACAGTTTTGTAGATCAGCTGATGTCACAGATGTCTGCCTTCTCAAGTACACTGAATTTGTGAAAACTATGCAGCGATGCGCTCCAGAAATCATGACCTCTGACTGAAAAGGTCACTGAGATTCTAGGGTATGAATCTGAAGATTCTACGTCGCCTCATCCTTGAGTTACCGTATTCACAAACTTGGGTGATTACGCCCCCCGCCCCGTAAGGTGACAATAATACACCAGCAGCCTTTAACAGCTGAGGAGTAAAAGAAAAAAAAACTTTAAAGAAAAAAATGAAATCACAAAACTTGTTGAGAGCAGTTTGATCTAAAAACTAGTAACCGGGTCAAAATATCAGCCAAAAACAAATTACTTTTTTTGACATGTACTCTCCATTATATTCAACATAATGCATCTCTACAGTGGACATCCAAACTCATGCAGAAACAATGCAAACTGTTCTAATGTAACGCTTTAAAAGAAAAAGCTGCACAAACCAAGCCACACCAGGCAGCTTCAACACTGCTCAAAGGCAGAAGTGCGATCATGTGACCCCTGCTCCGCGCCAGTTCAGGTATCAGCGGAGGAAGGAGGGGTCAGACAGGGAGCTGAGGACAGATCATTTCCCCCCTCTGTCCTCTGCTTCCTGTCCTCGCAATCTGATGGGAACAGACCTACCGCGTGTTGGGGCGGAGGACAGAGACGCTGGCATCGCGCCAGCTTGGAAAAGGGACAGAGAGCAGAGAGGAAGAGAGGGCAGGGACGTGACTGTGAGATCACAGAGGTCCCAAAGTCTGCTTCTGTTTCTGGCCTCTTTGTGTGTCTCCAAGGTGACGGGGAAGGCAGAGGAAAGCACCAGCTTCACACTGAGCTGCACAAGAGGCCCCAGAATAGAAACCATGTGACAGACAGACACAGATACTGTGTTCACGATGTGTTTACGGGCAACACGAGGGCACTGAGGAATCATTTTTGTGGCTGTGCTCCTAGGCTCTCGAGCCACATGTCCCCACTGACCCCGGATCATGACCTGGATCCACCAGCCTCATTGGTTACACAAAGTAATCGTTACAGAGCATATTATTAATGTTTAAATAGCTAGTGATGACTTTAGAAAGCATAATACAAATGTGTATGTACGATTTCCTTAATGCACTCTCATCCGCACTAGATAACAAAGCCTGGGCTGCCAATCAGAAGTGAAGAAAGACTAAAATACCAAATACAGACTAATCGGAACTGGTACTGTAGGCAACACCCATTAACAAAAGAAAACAATTAGGGAAGCTTAATAAAACACAGCACTTGTTTGGAAATGTGTTCGCATGCAACAGGCCTAACCAGTTCAAAAAGCAAAAGTCGCTGATGTTTACCTCATTCCTGTCAGCAGAACCAGCTGACGGAGCGTCTTCGCCCGGAGCTGAGGCAGGACGCGTGTTCTGGGCTCCAGCTGAGCCCATCATCTTATCCACAGGTGTGTCTGTCCTCGACCTTCACCGAGAAAACACAAACCCCAGAAAATAAATCAAATAAATCAACATCAATAATGGATCTTGCTCCCTTTTTGTATCTCTAGGAAAAGATTTAGAGACAGGAAATCTGTTTAAGCTCCAAATCTAAGCTCTTACGTTTCAGGGGATTCCTCAAAGATGCTGTGGCAGTCGGAGCTCTCCATCATGAGACTCCTGCTCAAGCTCTGCCCTCCTGCTCCCGGGTAGTGAAAGTTGGCAAACGAGTGGGACATCGGAGAGACCCCTTTACCCGGCGCTATTTCCCCGGCGCTCGCTCGCTTATCCTGGCCGGAGAGCCCGTAGGACAGCCCGTCCAGCGCTGGGTTCAAGGAGCGCGACATGTAGGTGTCAGCGGACTGCGGGCGGCGAAGGGGGGAGGAGGGGTATGGCGACAGTTTGCTGATGAGCGGGGTGAGGAGATCAGAGTAGCCGGTCTTAGCAGGCTTGACCAAGCGGTCTATGTGGATGTTGAGCTGCTTCTGTTCGAAGGCGCAGGAGAAGACGGTCTGGGCGAGGTTCTGCATCCAGGAGAGCAGCGACAGGTCCAGGTCGTCGCAGCCGTTACCGCACAGCATGTCGACGCCCAGGAGGACCTCGCTCTCTGTGATCTCCTCGCCCGTCGCTTTGCTCTGCACATAAGCGTCCGAGAAAGACCGGTTAGAGGCACAAACTCACTCAGGCCGCAGTCTTTACGTTAAATTTTAGCGTTTCACACCTGGCAGAACTCGACACAGCACTCATAGAGGACTCCCTTGAGAAGCAGCTGAAATAGTCGATCCCTGCTGGCCTTGAATCCAGCCTCACTCAGCTTCCTGTCTGCGGGGATGAACTCGGCCACCATGGTGCAGGCCTCCTCGAAACACTGAACTCTGGCCGTGCTCGGGTTCCAGTCCTGAGGGGACGCCAACAGAGAAATGAGACACAAAAGAAAATACATACACAGTTTCCTCCTGCTGCTTCGATATTATGCAAGTCTTATTCTGTAACAGCAGACTGCATGCCTTGAACTCAGCATGATTTGTGAGGCGAGGGAGTGTGAGGAGCAGACACAGCTTGCTGTAGTCGTCTTTAGACGGACAGAACTCCTCCAGGGCGTGGAGGCATTTGACAGCTTCCTGCATGGTGAACTCCAGCTGAAAACACATGAAATATATATTTTTACGCAACAGATGATCAAGGAGACGATTCCTCTAAAAAACAGAATCAATCTTCTCTCAAAGAGCACACTATTGTTTTGGTTTTTGCCCTGTCATACTGCCACGCGCTGAAAAATCACCACCAGCACACAATCAGGCCCGTTACACAAGTAATACACACCCCCAGCTACAATATTAACTGTGAGCATGCTCACTAGTACACGATATGCACAGATGTCCAAAGAAGTGTGAGCTAATCCAGTTTAACAGGACACGATGGCTCCGACAAAGCATCACAGGCAGCATCCACAACTACATCATGTTACAGCAGACTCACAGCTAGTCTAATTTGAGAGGATAGATGGAGTTTTCACGCAAGTCTGGTTGTCTGATTATACAAAATAGTGTGTGTCTGACTTCAAATTATTAGCAATTAGGACTAACAGAGAAATTAGAATCATCTCTCATATGAATCTTTTATAGCCTCAGCAGGGGTTTATGACAATGTGAATATTTTATTATGTACATATTATTTCTGCAAAACATTTAAAAAGGCTCTGAAAGTTAAATATGTCTGGACTCTTTTGGTCTGGTACATGTAATAACCCATCTATTACCAAGAAATCCAGCCATCTATTTTCCTTTTACCCAATCCAGCTGTCACTGGGCAAAACGTGGGGTACTCACTGGACAGGCTGCCAGTCCATCGCAGGGTTAACACATCGAGACAGACCACCATTCATGCCCTCATTTGTAACTACGACCTATTAACCAAACATGATGTCGGAGGAAGCCGAGGTACCCACACAACCACAGGGAGAACATGCAAACGCCACATAGAAAGCCCCCGGCCAGCGAAGTCAAACCCCGAACATTCTTGCTGGGGGGCAACAGTGCTAACCACTGTACCACCGTAGCATTAGCCTATAAAGTATGTGTTCCTGATCCTTGTTCCTAACGCTGTCCTACTGGTGTACGCGATCCAGAACAAGGAGGGAGAAAACAGTCATAATCAGCAGTCACAGGTGGACAGATGATCTATGTTAAGTGTTTTATCCACAACAGCAAACAACTTCATCAAAGGAGCAAATAAAGAGCTTAATCCAGATAACCTCTGACCGCAGTGTGGCCTTAAATGTCAGTGCTGCCACCATTAAACACAGACCCACAGACATAACCCACCCACTTATAAGCAGAGAGCTTTTAAGCAGACTTCCACTGTTTCCTTTTCAAACAATACACATTACAAACAGTTTTTACCTGTTTTTATCTTAGTGGCCCACCTTGTTCACAGCCTAACAACACGTGACTGTTATAAAGGTTGGAAATTCAGGTTTTGTTTGGGAGGTTTTGATGACAGTCTTTAGTTTTCTGACTTACGTGCTGTGGCTCGTCTTCTGCAGACATGGCGTTATTCACACACAGAGCCTCCAGAAACTTCTGCTTGAGGATGATGTAACGAAACCTGGTGGCAAAATTCAGTCCTTTTACTATTTTTACATACACTTAGGAAAACATTACATCGCCTGTTTGTTTTAGTTATCAGCGACAAAGTGTCAAATAGGTCAAATGAACTGAATATGTGAAAAGCTGCAATAAAAGAATAGGAAGCCTCACCTTTTTCTGTCAAACTTGTCCATGCACTCCAGAGGCTGAATGAACTGCAGGACCTCATCCCACTGCCCGTCGAGGACCAGTTGCCTGAAACAAAATATTTATGTGACCTATGAATGAGAAGACTCACAGTAACATAAGGCAGCAAGGGTTTTTTGAATATCTTGTGTTTACTACAACAAAATGACAGCGTATAACAGAAACTTGACACTATTTGGTGAACCACTAAAATGTATTTTAATACTCAGATTCAGCAGACTGGCTTACTTCCAAAGCAGCACTCAAACATCCAGTGTGGAGGTGCAGTGTTACACTATCCTCACCATAGAAGATGCTATCAGAAACACTAAACTTACTGGACTGACTGGAACAGTTTCCCGTTGCTCCTACTTCACAGTAATTCTTACACACCTGTATCTAGTCTGTACAGAGTGACCACTGAGTTCACTTACCTGAGAAAGAGCATGTCGTCTGAGTAGAGCCCGTTGATGACGCCGCTCTCTTTCTCCAGAGCGAGCATGCTGATGTGCAGCTTCCTGGAGTTGAGAAAGTCCAGGATCACCTTGATGATCTCCACCTCCTTCACATTTATGGTTTCCTCTGCTGTCATTGTGACGACGGGCTGCCAGTTACAGGATGAAAAAAAGCAAAACACAAATGATTAAAAAATGTTGGGAGTGAAAACCATGGACAAAGTTAGAGGCAAGGCTGAGATGGTTTGGACATATGCAGAGGAGGGATCGTGGCTATATCGGACAAAGGAGGAAAACTACAGGATGTAGTGTAGTCATGGATATAGTAACTGAGGACATGCAGAGTAGGCGTGATAGAGGAGGATGGTGGCGACAGGATGAGATGGAGGCAGAGGAGCTGCTAAAGGAGGAGGCAAAAGAAGAAGATTCATTCTCTTTGAAAAGAACAAATCTCACTGTTTTGGATATTATATTAACTGGATTCTAGGTAACACTGTCCACCTCCTGAGGATAAAATAGTAGGATTAGTTTTAATGCATCGCCAGGCACCGTGACTTCAGGATGAAACATGAAACAAATTTAGGGCCTTTTTAGCAGGGAAAACAAATGCAGAAGCTTGTAAAAAGTAGATTTTAAGACTGAGATTACAGGTTTGCATTAAGTCTTCCAAAAAAAAAAAAAAAACAGAGGTCATTGTGTGCCAGTCTGTGTAAATGTGTTAAACACGCTAAAACATACAAGCCAGGCAAAACAGAGGTTTGAAGTCAAAACATTAAGGTGCCGCCTCAGAGGTTGTGTTTACACTGGAGAAAACAGCACGTTATATGACTGTCGTGATACTATGTAGCCTCTGGTGTACTGATGGCTGTCTGTCGTCGAGATCGGAGAGATTTCATTTATAAAACTCCAGATAATCACAGCCAGGCACACAAACACACGCACGCACTGCAGTACCGCTAAGCTAGCCTGAGAGATGGCTAGCTAATAACACTGGCACTAAGCCACAAGTCAAACAGCATAAGAAGCTTAGGCTACTTGTTAGCTTTATATAGGTCCTGGATCCAGCCTCCGGATTATGGCAAAACCACCAAACAGCTAGTTAGTGACAGAGCTCATACAAAGCTGACTAATTTCACTGGCTGACTAGCTACAGCCAGGCCGAGGGGAGAGAGGCATCATCCGCTAGTTAGCTGGGCGGGCGGGGTGCTCACTGACAGCGTCCCCACCGACCACAGTAACCCTCCGCCGTGCTGCCATTACCCTCACCTGTTTCTGAACATACAGGGGATGAAAACGCTGGCCCTCAACGCCGCTCCGTGCTGCCCACAGCCGCTGTCACGACGGTACCGGTGCGGTATTGTCAGCGCCGTTTGTTTCGGTGTCTGTCGGTCCCTCCCTCCTCCTCCTGGTCTCTGACGGTGTCCCCTCCTTGCTGGATGTTTCTCTGCGGTCTGTTTGCTGCCCAGCCTGCCTGCCTGTCTGCTGCCTGCAGGGGCACCGCCTCCACCCACCCATCCATCCATCCATCCATCCACCCACCCAGCAAACAGCCAAACTTCACACAATCAGCAGCATTAAACAGTGTATTATAGAGATAATGGCATTTTGTGAAGGGAAGGTGTGCATACAGTGAGGCTTTTTTATTGTTGCCTTCTTGAACGTAAAGACACATATTTAAAGGAAAAAGAATAAATAAATCATGTGTGACCCCTTTAGTATACGGGACGTATCTATCTATAAAAAAAAAGATAATAAAAAAAAAAGAAATCAATCTATTAATTAAATTAATTACTTCAGTTAAGGCGGAAATTAACAGCATCTGCATTAAGATGATGTGTTTGAGGTCCTCTGGTGGTCTGTTTGTGCAACATGCATGACATGCAGTGCTTAAGGTTGAGATGGCTTTCAAGATCAAGACAAGCTTTATTATCCCCGAGGGGGACATTTGATTTGTAGTCAGCAGCATAAATAACACACATAAAGTATAAAGCCAAAAAACCACAAATCACATAATTAAAAAACGTAATAGTCGTAGGAACAAATGAGAATTTAAATCGATTTTTTTCTGCACCGAGGGAAAAAATGCCTCCTCCCTGAAGATAACAGCTGATACTCTGAAACAAAGGATGTGTGCCATCACCCCAAATCCTTTCTGCCTTAAGGGTCACCCTCCCTCTGTACATGAGGTCAGGATCATTTAGCTTCAGTACCTGCCACTTTGCTACACAATTTAACTATATGCTCCAACCTCTTCTCCAACTTATCTAAAATCAGTAACTATTTCCTTCATTTTAAACACATTAAATGTTTAGAAGGGACTGTCCACACCATGCTTGAGATTCATCTACAACTGGGTCACGATCTGCATCATGAAGCAGAGAGATGATCACTGAGTCGTCTGCAAATTTGATTATATGTCAGTCCTGATCGAGGTTCTGACTCTCATTTGTATAAAGAATAAATAAAAGAGGAGACACGCACCTGAGGGGAACCGGTGGAAGGTAAAGTACATCTGATATTGTTGACTTTCACTTTCTGAGGTCTATCTGTTAAAAAGCCTCACTGATTCAAATTCCAGGTAAGTTCACAAACATAAAGGTTGAAGAAGAAGAAAACTGATTCCACATTTTACTGTATATAATTACTATTAATTCTCTGAATTGTACCTTTAATGTATGTTGGCCTGTTTGTCCTGCAAGATTGGTCGGTCTTCTTTTTTCTTTTATTGCATGCTGTAAATACAAAGTCCATCCAAATATTGCAGGAAGGCCCTGCATCAAGACAGGTATACTTCAGAGATATCGATCTATCCAGTTAGGAAGCATAAACCATTATGAATCTGCTGTGAATTGTGAATTTCACCTGCTTTGGTGCAAATGAAAATTATAACGAGACATCCCCCAAAAAGAGAATGGATTTGCAGGTGCTGGCCACAGATATTTCCTTTTCTCTTTATCTATCCTGAAGGATTTTTCTCTACTTTTGCTTTTTGATAGTTTCCATGCTACTGCTGGCTAAGATAATAAATGCAGCTTATTCAGCTCCTCAAAGATGCAGGAGAAACCATGAGGTGGACCATTACACACAGGGAGAGTGGACAGGGCCATATAAGGGCATCAACAGCGCAGCAGTACTAGAATGAGTACTTCGTGCAGACTAGTCGTGCACGTCTCTGAGCAAAATGTCAGAAACATTAGCTTTGAGGGCTCAACATCCTTTAGTGAGACCTGTGCTCAAAGCCCAGAACAATGAAGCTGAATTGGGATTTGCCCAAGAGTACCAGAGTTAGCGGGTCCACCAGTACTACCGAATTCTTTGCACAAACTAGAGCAAAACAATTGGCTGCTAATGGATTTTGTTTTGTTTTCAAAGCAGTGCATTCTTTTTCAAATGACCCCAAACTGCCAAACATACTTCCTAGTCTGCCTTCACACACATATGAACCCACAGCACTTTCATCATTATCACACTGTGGACAAGAGCATTTTTACAGCTCTTACTTTACTTAAGTCGTCACAAAGACAAGCACAGATAGTTTATTTAAAAAAGCACATTTTATGACACAGACATGTAATGAGACACCATACGTATTATTGATAGCTGGCATTTAATAAAGCTCAAAGGAATAGAAAAAACAATAACAACCACAAAAAAAAAAAAAAAAAAAGATCCATGAACAGTTGAGCATAGTTTGTTAATTGAAAAGAAAATGAGTTCAGAGTTGGAAAAAAAAATACTATGGTTTTCTCTGTATACTTGCTGGGTTTTATACAATACCACACTAAAGCCTGTGTGAGACTTTACGCACTCTCAGCTACACTTTGCATTCAGCACACTTCCTTCAACATCTGCACTGCTTCCATTAGTACACACTTCCATCAGTTAAATGTTGTTACAAAAAATACTTCTATATGCCAAAATATATCTGTACAGTGTAAACACATACTGAAGGAACGTATGATTTTAAAAAAGAAAATGTAACAGTAACGTAAAAGAAATGTAATAAGCATGTCCTGAAGAGGGAACATCTTCGATTAGACTCGACAACAGTGGACGGGGTCCTCAAGTGCTATTTACAACTGTGGACGACCTCGAGGGCGATCACGCTCTTTAACAGTTTATCCACATTAAAGTGACATTTGTAGTGTTTGTTAGATCCAAATGCAACATGGTCAACGGCGAGCATTCAAAATCACTCTTAAATTGCACAGACTGATGACACAGTGTGGGATGTCCGTCTAATCTAATACTCACGATAGTCCCGTCAGCGACGCTGCTGAGCGGTCACACTTTTTGCATCTGTAGCACAACAAAAGGCCCCCGAACGACAACATACCGACACGCACGTGATAAATTATAAAAGCTACTCAAAAAGCTACCACAAGCTGACTTGTTCATCTTTAATGGAACTGCCATTATATACAAACTAATTTAACTTATACAGGTACAGCATATTATGTTTCTCTGAATAAAATCTAAGACGCCTTTTTTTAAAAATCAGCTTCAAAGCATCGAAATCGCACTGAAATAAATTAAGAGCCCATTGCAGGTGCTTTCCAGAACAGTTTGATGGTACTGCACATGCTCGATAATCTCATCATTTTATTCGGAAAGTAAGTGCAATCACCAGCTGAGGTATTTTGAACCCTCACTCTTCATGGCACTTCACTATACACACACACACGCTCATTCGAACACACACAGACACTAAATTTAACCGTCTAGAAGTTTTTCAGTCACGTGTACAAAAAACAAACAAAAACAAAAAAAATTACATGCCTCTGATCAAAGATGGGGAGGCGGAGGGGGGGGGTAAGCTGATCCCTCATCTGTGCCGCAACAGGCGGTGACAAAATAACGTTAACACTCACGGTGTGTTCGTCTGACACAAAACAAGCATAAGGCCACACATGATCAACTCAGAGAAACCAAACGGCCTCTTTCAGAGGCGTGACATTCAGTGCTTCAGTGGTTCAACTAGATAAGGCATTGGTTCGCCTCTTAATATTTTATTCCATCTCTCTCTTTGTTTTGGCACATGAGAACATTGATGCACGTGCTGACGAGTACACACTTGGGGCTCGTTTGAAGCTGTCCAAATGGTTACAGCCAGCTCTGATTTTGTGAAAGTAAATCTGAGGCCCACCCGTGTTCTTACATTCCAGTTGTGATTTCTAAAAGTGGGAATGTCAATAAAAGAGCAAAATCCGCAAAGTCCTGTGTTTTTGCTCCGACGGAGCACATCCGGATGCTGCCCAACCCAATCTGGGCACTACTTGGGGTGTTTTTTGGGCGTGCCCTGCTTCTTGGTCTGCCACAGATGGCTGGCGATGGTAATGGCATCCACGCTGGCGGACATAGTTTTGGCAGGGATCTTGCTGAACTGCTTCCTATCGGAGTTGTACTTGTACAGAGCTTCGATCATCTTTGTTGTAATATTTTTCGGGCCGATGCCGGCCAGTTTGGTGATCTCCTCGGTTTCAGGGCAGTAGGTGTAAACGGACCGGAACTGGCAGCCGGCATCGCGAAACAACACCAGGAAGTTGTTGGCTTCAGATTTCTCCATTTCCTGTGGTGGCAAATTAAAAGAAAAACAAAAAAACATCTCATTACGGTTTGTTACGCTCTTTTTAGTCAGGAAAAATATATTTATACACACAGATACAAAACATACATCAAGTATCTTGTTTTTCTGCCCTTCATTGACTTTGCCAGCCAGGCAGCAGTGAGCCAGGGCGTTCTGGATGATGTGCTTGTTGGACTTGGCACTGGGCTCCTTATAAAGTTTAGGTCCTGTGGGAACAACGCACAAGCGTGAGACTGCAGACAAAAAAAAAATCCTTCATTGTTCAGCAGCTATGCAAATGTAAACAAACTATCTAAACGCCTGTGTCTACCTGTGTACTCATTGTTGGAGGGGGTGGAGGAGGTGGTGGAGTCGTTTTCCCAGTCCTTCTCTCCGTTCCGGCTGCCGGCCGAAGGACAAGAAGAAAAGCCTTCCGCGGAGTCCGGCCTGGAGGTGATCGCAACACAAACCAACAAATGACACACGCAAACATAACCACCACGAAGACGACAGACGAGCGTGGACACGTTACAGACACGTACGCCAACAAAATGCACACACACACAGACATGCACACACACAGATGTGGCAAAATAAGGTCAGACGCCGTGACACAGATCTCCAAGCCCTGCCTGTTGTCCCGCATTACATCATCGTACTGTCATAGTCAGATGAAACGGAGCAGCGAGGGGCAGAAACGGCACGTTCATCCAAGCAAAAGCAAAGTCTCGGTGCTGTCTTTATAGGTGCTGCGAGGGATGAGCTCAAGTACTTATGAAGGAACGAGCAAATACACTGGTGAAGCAGAGAGCAGCCAGCAGAGAGGAGGGAGCAAACAACAGCCTGAGAGCAGCACTGCACAGGACGGGAAGATGGGAAAAGAAAAAAAAAAACAAGAAAGGTGGAAACAGCTCAGCCACGCGAGTCTCGGGAAACTTAT